TTAGGGACGGCTAGCGCAGATAGCCCTCGTGTAGCTTTGCGCGAAATTCCAAAAAACAAACAAACAAACTTATCTGATGATAAGTCAATACTATGGATCAAAATGCTGTAATTATTAAAATCAGAACTTGCCTACTCTAAAAGTTGCTGTTTATTGTATTTCTGAATTAATCATTCAGTTCAGTAAGTTCCTCACTAAATGTAATTAAGACAAAGTTCTTTCTGCTGCTGTAATCTGGATAAACTTCTGTATGAGTTGTATATAATATACAATAGTGCCTATACTATTACCTAGCCTTTTGGTAATGTAATGAGCTGCCAACTTCTCTTTTGACTCAGCAAGACAATGGCCAGTATTCGAGTTGACTTTATAGGCTTCATATCTATGCAGCTACAACAAGATGATTCAATTAAGTTATATTCTATGCCTTTTGTCACACAATAGTGGAGAGAATATCTGGTTTTCTATGTTTGAAAATACCAAACTTTTAAAACTATTGCTAACTTAAAAATATTTTAAGTTTTCTATATTGTAAGCTATAAGCATCAAAGCTGACTTTCCAGAGCAGACAGTAGATGGCAAATTTGAATGGTTTCCATGTCTAGGGTATACTAAAAACACACCTATCCTTCTCATTCAACCTAATGTTCTTTGATTATCTTATCATACTTCCTCTTCTGTCTTTTGGTCACTTTTTTCATCTATTCATATGTGATCTCGTGTATGCCATCAAATGTAGAATGCAACCATCTTACTTGTTCTTGTGAACATTTTGGCAATTGCTCAGCTAGTCAGGCCATATATGAGGCCTACTGGGAGTGCAAATTCATGTCCAACCATTAACGTGTTTGGAGAACAGATGGTAGGCTACTGCTCTGATTTGTGGTATGTCATCATTACATGTGGCAGTTCAATCTGTGTTAGAAATTATACAGTTTATAATTAGAACAAGCCATTTAGCCAAACCACTAGACTTCATCTCACCTAGTACCTTAAACAACTGATCAAACAGCTGATTGTTGATATTTGCTCTTTGATCAATATAAACCTCCTCTGTTGCTCCAAAGCAAACAATCCACTTCTTAGCTAAATTATTGGTAACTATTTGAGCTACTGATCTAACAGTGCATGTGCTTTATCCCACTTACTGAACTAATCAGTTACAACCAGGCTAGCAATTACCATGGGTTGTTTTGGCGAGTGGTTAAGCAATTGGATGATTTTTGTTCTAGGCTGTATAGGCTGTACTGTGTTTACATCATCACTCTACATTTTTGTGGGAATGCAGCCACTAAATTTGTCCCGACAGGGATGGCTTTAGTATAAGCATCATAGTAACTAGAGTCAATATGCTACTCCAAGGTCAAACTTGGGTTGCGAGCTATAACTTCCACATATGCATATGTATATGCTACAACTCCAGTAATCTAAGCTAGTTACAGTCCTGAATGTGAGAGGTTCCATGGTGTTCTTTGATATATATATATATTATGTAATGTTTGGAAATTCTTTGAAATCTCAGGGCCACTAACTGCATTGTAGGTCAAGTACCATATCTGGTTGGACTGTAGAGATGAGAACTTTTTCTTCCATACTTATGAATGATCAGACAGTTACCAGAACTTGCATACTTCTATACTATGTTTATCAGTCTATATTACTGCACTTCACCTTGCAGCACAGCTAGATCTGGATCCTTTAACTGTTCTTCTAAAAGCTTATTTTCATCGTACTTGGTATCTAGGACATTTTATTAATGAATAAGATCTTACCTTCTAGAGGTAAAGGTGATCTACATTTTCATTCTCTGTACAGTGAAGTTATACTCCTGCAGCTTTATGATTCAACACACAGTTATATCTTCCAATTTCCTAAAGTTTTTATCAGCCTTTTCAACAGTGGATATCTTGATTAATACTACAACTGCAAGTTGTTCTTTTTTTTTCTTTGTACAGTAATGGGATTTAGTGGATGTTAGCATTCAGCTCTTGCATACTATAACATGCACCACACATTACTGCATTTGTGATAGCACTGTTTCAATTTCACTACCACTAGCATATATACCCAAGATGAATGGAAATATTTCAAAAACAGGATTAAACTTCATTTCACAGTGCCACTGTTGTAAAAATGGTAGCCACAAAGAATCTATAATTTCATACAAAGCCAAAAAAATTTTCAAACTTCCAATCTACCACTGCTTTTATTTTGAAGGGTCTGTAAGCACTCCACCCATACTCATTATGTGTCTGAGAAACTACATGCATTAATATGAAGGAAAAGCTTTCTGGCTTCATTTTCAAAACACATTTGTCATAAGCATTGTGTTAGGTTTTTATAAGTGTGGATGGGCAGGATTATTTACAGTAGGTGTCTGTGACTTGTTGGTGATACATTTCAATAACAATGGACAGCACACAATCCACTTTTTTAAAATAACATATTCAAAACAAGTCAAAATTATGTACAAAAATTCATTAGCCTGTTGGTTATCACAGTTGTATCCAGAGCTTTAAGTAATTGTCTCCTTTTCATCAAAGTCCACACAGATGGGTTTAATTACTTTAGAAACCATCCATTATGGCTAAACTCACATGCAGTCTAACTTCACTTTTACTTTCACTAACTTTCTTTCTGTATCTGCACATATTTATAACATGTGACAGAAAAATCTAGAAATATCTAGCCCTCTAGTTACAGTAATATGACACATAACGAGAAAAAGTAAGAAGCTTTGAGTAAGATGATGTCAATAATATTACAAAAGCCTAGTACAACAATTAAACTACATACACAATGTATGACTCATACATAGTTACATAATGAAACTTGGCATAACTATTGCTTTTAAACTAATTAACTTTTAACACACTTGTTATGAAAACTAAATAATAACTCTTCAATTGAACAGTCTTGTATATCCAACACATTGAAATACCATGTGTTAGTTTTAGCATGTAAAACATAACAAACCTGAATTCTAGGTGAGTACATCATCATTTACTAAATACTTATTAATTACCATCCTCCTGAATAAAATGTCATGTCACCCTGATTTATAACATCCTATATTATCATATTGATTGACTTTTATCTCTCTAGAATAACATCACTAATACATTCATGCAATCATCCTAAATTTATGCTTTTGTTTTGTACATTAACAGTAGCCTTGTATAATAAAATAATTACTATTGGAAGAAAATATTTTAGCTATAAATATCTGTAACATCATTCTGGAAAGATAACATATCTGCTTAAGCACTAAAATTTAAAAAACCCTTAATCCATTCTCCTAGAATTAAGTCATTTTACAAATTCCTAGATTTGAAATTTTGTCTCTCAGGAAAAGTAGTACATGTAATAGTTTTCTTTAAACATGTATAGATAAGACGAATTGACAAGAAATATTATGTTTAGTACTGTTCTTGTTTTTATTTTATTTTCTTGTGTCATGCTGTGTTATTACATTATTCTCTTACTTCTTAATTTTCTTTGTCTTGATATATTTTTGCTAATCAACCTTCTTCTATGAAGAACCTTCGTGATGTTCTTGATAGCATCTATGATACAAAAGTTCCAGAAATTTGGAAGCATATTTCATGGGAGTCTACTACCATTGGGTTCTGGTTCACTGAGCTGCTAGAGAGAAATACCCAATTTTCTTCTTGGATATTTGAAAAACGACCTGATGTTTTCTGGATGACAGGATTCTTCAATCCTCAGGGTAATGTTTAAAGTTTTTTAACCTACCATGCAAAATGAATATCAACTTTAAATTTGTCAGTATATTTTTATTACCATTTTATGATATTTGAAAAGTAATGTTTCAAAATTAAATTTAAAATTTTAAGTTTATGAATTGTGCACACAGGTTTTGAAGTGAACCAAATAAATAACATTTATGTACTTATAGTAACTCTGATAATAATTAAAAACCATCATTCTAACCAAATTAAGTAACCATCAAACTATTAAATGTTCAGTTTTCCTGAATGGATAGCTTTTATATTGATGTTTATTAATGTGAATAGCATCTCAACTACCATTATGTCTGTCATTTACAAACTAGTATAAAGTGCCATGATATTAGGCAAAAGGCCTTGTCAGCACTGGATATATCAGATATAGTATGGTTGACATATCGTACATTCTTCTTTACTTTCACTTAGAAGTTCTCATTAACAATGTTTGTGAAATAGATATTTGCTGCATATTCATATTTAATGAAATCTTTAATTTTCAAGATCTTTAATTCCTTAAATGCTTCCACTTTTTCTGAAAATGGTGCATTAGGAGTGCCACATATAGTTTTACACACACACACTTATATATATATGTGTATATTGTTGCGTCTCTGTTCATTTGTTAATTTCCCGTAAAATTTCTTCCCGAGGAACTTCAGCGATACAAGTCCTTTTTTAAATAAAACTAGTTTATTCTTTCTCAATACAACTTTGCAATACACAGAATTTCCACAGTCACTTTAACTCAAACACCTGCTATAATTCACAACGATTCACACACTTTACTTACGATCACTACCACTCACTTGACTCAATTATCTGTCTATCTGCTGCGATTCTCTATGCCTTCACTTTTTTTATCTCCGCATTATTTGCCGGGCTTATATACTAAAATAGAGGGCGCCTGGAAAAGACTACTAAGACCTACTAAGTCTCTAACATTTGTTACTTTTCTTAAAAACCATTTAACAATAAATAAAAAACATACATAAAAATCAAAAAATTTAGCACTTACTTTATATCCTTTGCTTTAGATTGCATGGTTTAGTAAATATATTTTTTCTCATTTTATTGGTTGTCCAAATTAGTTCATATGGATTTCAAATATGCATCTTAAAAAATAATAAATACATCAGACACTGGATTAGAGCTTTAAAAAACGAATATAATTTATAACTAACCTACAAATAGATTAAAAAAAATCATTACTAATCAGAGAAATACCTTTAGTCTAAACACATCAAGCCTTCCCTGCAAATTTTTTACTTTTATAACTAAAACTAAACAATTGTCTGATTTATGTAATGTAGAATTTTACATTTCTGTTGACTATAAACATGTCCAATAACAATGTCAGAAAAAATTATAAACATCTCTTAAAAGATATTCGATATAGGATGGATGTCAGCATGGATTGAACAAATATAGTGATATCTTAGTAAAGTACATACAGGTGGTACAGTTTAAGCTTAATAATAGGTTGCCAAGTTTGCTACACCAGAATGTACTTGATTGTAGAGTAGATGTGAAATCCATAAATTTGGCTATGTATTGAAAGTGTGGGAAACATTGATGCATAATTGGAATGTCAGTTTATCCAATCACATCTTATACTGAATCATGGATTCTTGACCTGTCATCTTGTGAAAAGGCCTTAGGTGATAATATCATGCTTGCTCTTGTTATTAACCTGTTCAGTTGAAGCAAGTTAATTTTTGGGGATTGGAAGATATTCTAGACCTGAATATACAGTCCATCATTGAGTTGGTGGATCTAGCAAAGGTGCTTCTAACTATTATGTACATAGAGTCCATGTAATATTCAGCCCCCCAGCCTATGGAGATTGATAGATTTCTGCTAATCCCTGTATTCCACATGATCACATTTTGTTGTGATGGATTAAGAGAGAAAATGTTGAGAGGATTGAGCAGTAGCTGGGCATCTGTTGATTTCCAGGCTCTTCTTGAGTGGGCAGTGAGCAAACTACCTGCTTTATTCTCCTACAAACCTGGTGCCTCTTTTTCCTGGCTGAAAGAATGATTGCCAAAGGCAGGACCCAGCCAACCACCACAGAGGGAGCTAACAACTAAGGTAGACAGCAAAATTAGATGTTATGTCTTCTTTCTCTTTGATGGTTGCCACAAGTGTTGATGCTATAGAAAAGAAGTATGTTCATACCTTCATGGGATACGTGTTCCAAATGGGAGGATGTTTGACAAGATTCCTTGGTGTCAGTACAAAGACAAACTTAGCAAGGAGGATAGAATTGTAATACTGGAAATATGGCACAACAAGAGAGGCTCCATCCCACACTTCAGCTGCTATGGAAACTGTTGTGACTTGAAGAACTTTGGCTTCCTCATTGTCAATGATGGAAAAGATAGGGAAAACAGGAGCTCCCTGTAGAGTACTGAGCCTGCATAACAGAGAAGAATGACTCAAGAGTGATGAAGTGGAAGCATCACTCTAGGTTCAGAAGCACTAATAGATTGCAGCCTGGATCCTAAGCCTGTGAGAGGAATATCTCAGTCTAGAACATAAGATTCAGGATTACAGGGCTGCTAACTATGCAAGGAGTTGGCCAAAATATGAAGAAACTCTATAAAGCCACAGAGATCCTACATAGGTTGTTGTCAGAGGGATATAGGTCGACAGTGACCCTGGAGGTCTACTTGCTACTCTGTAGATTCATTGGAGCTCCTGAGTGCAAATATGTATATTTTTGTAAATTTACATATTTTGTTTTATTACTTATCTGAATCTTCTTTTTCTTTTCTTTTTTTTTTGCACATATTATTAAATTATTAGGTCTGTTATAAAGGGTTTCAACTTATGATTAAAGAGTTTGTATATTATAATTTGCTTATATAAATATCATGAAATTTGGAGTTTATTCATCTCTATAGTTTTGTACTCAAACAATAATTGGCTTGATTTTAACTAACATCCAACAGTAATAAAAAGACCTGATATTGAATGAGAGTAATATTTAGGTTTGAAATAAGGGAATAGTCTTTAAGATTTAGCATAAAAATGTATATGAATCTTACATTAAAGGATATGCTTTTAAGGGTTGTATGTAATATATTTTGTCTATTACAGAATTTATGATTTTTTTAAAAAATTGTTTCACAAATAAAAAGTTCTTCAACTATTGATGAATTGATGTAATGCTTGCTTTTTATTCTTATTATAGTTTTATTTTTTTCACCACAGGTTTCCTAACAGCTATGAGACAAGAAGTGACACGTGCTCACAGAGGCTGGGCGTTGGATTCTGTTACACTGCACAATGAAGTACTACGCCATTTCAAGGAAGAAATCTCTTCACCACCACAGGTTAATTATTATATTTTTTACTGTTCAGGCAGAGTAATTGTGAGACACTCTTATATATATATATATATATATATATATAATTTACTATCTTTTTTCAGAATACTTTTCATAAGAACTTGTAACACTATATCACTTCACGTTTACTAGCATCCTACCACAGTCTAAAAGTGACTAGTATTTAGTTTTGGAGAAGCTGAAAAATGAATTTTACCTCAAACACTGCATAAAGAGCTTATTCATTTTAAACAGTGCTTTTTAATGTGATGAATGAAATATTCAAGCTGATACTCACTTGAGAGTTTTAATAACAGTCAATACAAAACGTACTTTTGTAATATGATTAAGATACTAAGCACTGTAACTTAAAATTTTTGTTAAATGTTTGATATTGTATGATCAATAAAGTTACTAACATGCATTGACAAAGATACAATAGTTTATAATGAAAACTTGATAACATACTATTACTAGGTGCATTGAAGAGTAAAACACCTTTAAAATTTCATAGTGCACTTATTTTACTTATTAATATCTATTTCTGATAAGGTACATTATCTACTCTCACATAAATAGCTGTTCTTGTTCAGTGCTGGCCTCTATAGTGCACTTATTTTACTTATTAATATCTATTTCTGATAAGGTACATTATCTACTCTCACATAAATAGCTGTTCTTGTTCAGTGCTGGCCTCTATATGCCCAAATATTTTTATGCATGCCACAAGCCTTTTTTCTCCCCTCCATTGGAATTGACTAATTCCAATGCATCTCTCAGGCAACTCTTCATGCAACAACCCTTCACCAATAAGAATGTGACATACTTTCATTACGTATGTGACTCCCTCTATTCAATTCTACCTAACTATCACTTCTCACTTGGCAGTACTCATGTTTTCCCACCCTCCTCGGATATTAGGGTTCATGCTGAGCAATTTACTTCACAATTGGTTAAGAGTTCCAGCATGCCTTGCCCTCCATGGGCTATAGATTAGTTTGTTCATCAAGCTGACTGTCCATTTCTCAACTCTCAGCAGTTGGGGGTCTATTTTACCGAGGGGGCGGTCCCCGATTTTCCTGTGCATTTAACCCATGCCAAGTTTTCTTGCCTTTGTATTACCCTTATTTCACTTCTATGGTATTTACCTACCATTCTTCTCTTTTCCAAGGCAATACACCGAGATCTTCAATCTTGGGTTCTAGGGTAGCCTTGTCCCACACCTTTCGTTTTTCCTGATATCATATCATATTTACCTCTTCTACACTTCCTCTGTTGATGTGTTCCTTCCAGATTTATCGTCCACTGTGGCAAGCTGCCCTTCCAGACTAGGATGTTAATGTGGTCCTCCACTGCCTTACTTTGCCTCTGTTTGAACAACTTTACACATGCTCCTTGTATCACCTTTCCCTTAAGATGTATTTCCTTCTCCTCTTAACCTGTGGACATTGGAAGTCTGATTTATTTGTCATTCATGTTTCAAGTACTCTTTATCATCCTACATAATTTCTCCATAATCAAGATCATTCTTTCTTCCCTAATACTTCAGCGGCTAGGGAAGGTACTTGCTCCTTTTTGCCAATTTACCTTCATTCCATTTCTAACCTTTATCCTAGGCCTGATCCGGATAAACTTCTATGTCCTGTACATGCTCTTTGCTATTATATTGTCTGCACGGCTTCCTTCCATGGTGCCTATTCCCACATCCTTTATTCCTTGGCAGCCATCCTATGTTCATGCTCTTTCTCCTTCCACTCTCACCTATTGGGTTTGGCTTTTGATTCAATTGGCTTATTCCTCATTATCATCTTCCTCCCGTACTTTGTCCAATGCGTCTTTTCATCAAATTCGACACCTTATCTATTCTCTGGCATCTCATCTTCGTCATCCATTGGAAGAATTTCTTCAATCAGGCATGTGGACTACTCCTCATGCATTCATCTCTCATTATATGCATAGGATCACCATTTCTTCTTCTTCGTGCTGTTGTCTTTTGGCTGTAGCCATTCTTCAGACTACAGTGAGACTTTGACTGGAGAAGTTATCTTTTATTATTCTTTTCAAGGGCCTTATTTCTCTTTTTATTATTATTACTCATTGTTTAAGAGTGGTGCCTGACTAGGCATTCTTTAACTGCTCAAATCCACACTGTCAAGCCATGTCGAATTGCATATTATAATTACATGGCCATGCAATTCACACTGCAGAGATGGGTGTTCTACAAGATTGCTTGTAGGTTTATCCTCGTGATACAATTGCTTCATAAGTTTGCCTGTTCTGGACTGTATCCACCCGTAGATTATATGAGTAAAGCAGAAGGGGATAGCTACCCATCCCAGCCATGCCTTGTAATGAAGAAATTGGTATGGTCTGATTTTATAAAATAGGGTTTCATGGTCACCCATTGCACTGTCTCTCCACTGAATTTTGCCTCCCATTTCTTCTAGTGGAGTTTCAGAGTCCTTACCACTGAATGGATTAATGAGATACAAACAAAATATAGAAACAATTATAAAACCATTCAATTGAGAGTAGGGCAGTGGTGTTCTGCTGGTGTAGCTGACATAATATCTTTCAATATGAAACATAAAAAAATGGGAGACATCAAATTTGCAGTTCACTCTTTAGATTAGGATCCCTCATCCTACTCCACGGGGATGTCGGTTCCCAGTGGCCGGGTTTTGGATTTAGAGTAGAACCAATCAACACAAGTCTTCACACATGTATTACAGTTATCTATATTCCTCCTTCATATATACTCCATAAGTGTTGTGGGTCATAGTGGAGGTAATTGCAGGTTGTTACGGTTCTTCCCTTCTGCTATTCCTCGATGTTTCTTATTCAGAGAATTTTAATGCTCTTGGGGTGGTTCCGGTTAATTTCTCTTTTGAGAGAGATGGTTTACATTATGTAGACATCTTTTTAATACCAAATGTCAGGTTTTCAGATCGATCGGTCAATTTATCATATTCACATGCACCCCATTCATGAGTCGGGGAAAACTATATTCCCTTCGGTCTCATGAACTTGAGGTGAAGATAGTATAATCCTTATTCCTACCCCACAGAGTTGTTGGTTCCTGGTGGCCTGGATTTTAGTTGACTTGCTGGTGGTATGATCCTCATCCTACCCCCACTTGGATGTCAATTCCCAGCAGCATGGGTTTTAGACATAGTTGACTTCCTGTGTATGGTCCATCACACCCTAGCCACTATACAACTAGGGGCACATACGTTTCATTTTACCCACTTTTATAATTTCTGGGATTGAGTTTCATAAATATTGCATGGTTCGGATTACTTTCCAGCCATAGTTCTCTCCAAATTGGATGTGCTCCTCTATTTTCTGCCCATATATGTGACATCTTTTTATAATGGGTGAAGAGTATACCTGGTTCAGATGTGGTGCAGTCTCCCTCATCAGATCTTAAAATCTGACTATCTCATTTTAGGGAGTATCCCTCAGATACTTTCAAAGGAAGCTTCTTTCTTCCACTCACACTAGTCCTCTACCTATTCAATGTGGGATTATAGCTATTTATGTGAGAGGAAGTAATGTACCATATTGGAAGTTATAATTTTTCCTATAGTGAAAATGTATTTCCAATAGGTATTTACCTCCTTTCACACTTCTCACCCTTCCTCCCAACTGAAAACCGGTGGTTCCATTTTCTACCAAAACTCGAAGTGATAGAATTGAATAGAGGAAGTCACATTCATAATGAGAGTATGTCGCACTTTGTTGGTGGAGGGTTGTGGCATGATGATTTGCATGAGAGAGATGCATTGGAATTAGTCAATTCCAATGGAGGGGAGGAAAAAAGCTTGTGGCATCTGTAAACAATTTTTTTGATATAGAGGGCAGCACTCAACAAGAATAGTTAGTTATGTGAAGTAAGGTTTTGGAAATACATTTTCAGTATAGATTATATTATATCTTGGTGAATCCAACAGTAGGTTGTTAGTAAACAACTTTGGAGATCTTCACCAGAATTTGATTGAATACTTCATGAAACAAAAAATTTTTAGAACATCACAAAATGAAATAGAAAAGTATGTATAACTGGAAAATAGAATGCCTATCTTTAATTCAAGTTTTTTCTGACTGTCAAAAATGATACATTCCTGACTTCAAATGTAGCAAATTGAATAAAGACTTAGATATATTTTGTTTATAGCAGTAAAATTTGTCTGTGAAATCGTTTTTTTTAATTAAATAATTAATTTCACTACATTAGCCAAAACAATACAGTTTTTGTATTATAAATAAAAAAGAAGATAACCTTAAAGTATTTATATCAGACAAAAAGTTTACAAAATGATTGTAATATACTATAAATGACTTTATACATTTGTGTGAATAATTGAAAGCCAAACTTTGTAGAAAAATACATATGATTTGTGTATACTTTTCAATTTCCTTTCAAAGGAAGGAGTTTATGTCCATGGACTATTTTTGGATGGTGCAGGATGGGATAGGAAGAACTGCAAGATCACAGAATCCCTTCCTAAAATGTTATTTACTTCTCTTCCTGTTGTACATATTTATGCAATTACTTCTACAGCTCCTAAAGACCAATGTCTCTATCAGTGTCCAGTATACAAGAAACCCAAGCGAACTGATCTTACTTACATCAATTCACTGTGGCTGAAAACATCACAGAACCCAGACCATTGGACTTTAAGAGGGGTAGCACTCCTCTGTGATATAAAATAGTCTCCTAAAACGATTTTCCCCTGAATTAGATAAAAAAAAATTCATATATACTTTCCAAAATTGAAAAAAGCATTAATTATACATTTATAAGTATTAACATAATCAGTTTTATTGTTTAAAAAATATTAATACTGTTATTAACTTTTTATTGCTATTAAATATATTGTTGGTGTTTGCCATGTCATTTTAATGACGTTGTTCCAATAACTGCTTTTATTTCTTGTAAATACTGTAATAAATAAATATCTTGTTCTTGAAAATTATTTATAAATTACTCTCATTTGGCACCACACTCAAGTTTTTAGGTGGTATATTAACAATAAAAATGTCATTATTGTCTTATTTTGAAATAATCATTATTTTCTTACATAGTGTAGTATTGTTATGTCTCTGTGTTCGTTTGTTAATTTTCCATAGAAATTCTTTCCGAGAAACTTCAGCAATACAAGTCCTTTCTTAATTAAAACTAGTTTATTCTTTCTCAATTCAACTTTGCAATACACTTAATTTCTACAGTCACTTTAACTTGAACACACGCTATAATTCACAATGATTCATGCACTTTACTTACGGTGGTTATCGGTGTCTACAACTTCAATCTCTCTCTTTGCTACGCCAGTTCCAGATGATTCTCTCCTTTGTCTGGTGTGCTTATATACAATTAAAAATGCGCACATAGCATGCGCTAACGTCTTCGCAAATTTTCTAGACACTCATCACGTGTTACCAGCGTCACGTGACTTCCGCTGTCGTAACAGTATATTCTAGTTCACAGGTTTCCCATAAATCAAGAAGAGAATGGTCCACAAAACAGGAGGTTCAACAGATATGATATTATAGAGTATGGGTCCATTTACTCTCTGGACACTGACTACATTTGTCAACAAAGAAAAAAATCAGTACAAAAAAATGCAGAACAACAACCTTTATTAAGACAAACACAATACATTAATGTGAAACAATACAAAGGCAAGTATCTGTAGAGATGTGTTGAACCAGTGAGTGATGGCTATAGAAAGTTTTAATGTTCATCTCACTAGTCTAGTGTGAGCCCAGTGTGTAAGCTACACTTAAATAAGTTTAGGATAAACTATGAAAAGACTCGCAGTTAAAACAAGTTACAGTGAAGCAATGTTAAGTTTAAAGAAATTCCTGAATCTAAATGAAAATCTCAGGAAACTCTAAACTGCTTCAATCTCTACAAAAGTCTAAAATCTCATCCAAAAGTCTACTTGACAGAAAAGCCCTAGTTTTAAGTACAAAACACAATAATAAAGCCATGCTACTCACACCACACTCTTGCAACACGTGACCTAAAGCCTCACACATTTCAGCATAGAGGCATGGATCCCCTGGACCATTGCATGATTTGCCAACAGAAAAGAGAGCTGTCTATTTCAAGATGTTACAGTGAAATAACAGCTATCTTCCCTGCAAGAGAACATACTTAATGAGCAGTTAGTGGTCCAAGTCTCATGTGCAGCTACATTAAGGATAACTCTTATTAAAAGAGACACGGTTATGTTTTTAATATAAGACAGTTGATGAACTAGTTCTGTTTAATTCAGGCCTTCATTTCTCTCATCATTGCATTTGGACAGGATCTATAGCATAGTCTCAAATAGCATGCTGTTTTATACTAGATTTGTTTTCACTTAACAAATTTGCATGTTCTTGTACATGTGCTTTTAGCTATCTGATGGTAAACCCAAAGTACTTAGAGCTGCATCTAAGTCATTTAATTAATAAACCACTTTTTATGTAATTAGAGATGATATTCTGTTTTTAAAACTGAAGAAATTTTGCAGTCTACTTTCTGATGTAAAAATCACATATAAATCTATCTGTGGATAAGTTCTATGAAAAAGCTTGTACAGCTGTTTCTTCACTAACATCAGATAGCACTATTGATGTTGTTTTTTTCAGCGTTACACAGAAGTAGCTTGATGCTTCTGACTTCCTCTAAATATTTCCATATGATGTTATCAACAAAATTCACTATAAAACCAGAAAATGTGTTAGTGATCTTATAAGTGCAATGGATCAAGATCTTGGCTAAAGTTTTCTTGAATAATAGTAAAAGTAAAGTAAAATGAAAATATAAACTTCTAAATGTCTTTTTTTTTTTAGGGAACTTCACATTTAAATTTACTTTTCAGTGATTCAACCTCCCTGTAGATCTTAAGTTCTTTGAGCAGTGAAAAATTCAATTTCCTCAAATATAAAGTCTTTATAAGTTAGTAATACCAAAGTTCATGGGCAATAAACACTTCAGCAACTAATAGAAAACTCTGTAGTAATGAAAATCCTTTGGTTATGGCACTAAAATTTCTACTCTGTGGTATTCTCAGGTTAACTGAAAATACTCTGGAGCTATATTGAACAAATCTGTCAAACAAGAGATTTAATCAGTATGCAGAATTATGGAGTGATCTTAAAAAAATATTTACTAACTTAGACTATGCTAACCAAAATAAAAAAGACTAAAAAGAAAGGTGATAAACAAAATGAATGGTCTTTAATAAAACACTACATAAAATCAGTATGTGTACCTGCTTGATCACAAATGGCCATTTCTCTACCAGGATGAATTAAACAAAGGTTTCTACTTAAAACAAAATCTCACATTTCCCTAGCACGACTGTGCTACCGCATGAAGCAACAACACCTAGATATTACTCTTACAACTATTAAATGACATTTTCCTCAATATCCTGGAACAAGTTCATTGTAAGCAATTATCTCAATGGGTGGTAACTGGTATTACTAACTTTGAAAATGACAAAGGAATAAGGGTAACGTGAAACAAGATCAACTTAAATTTTCTTGACCATGTGTTATGTGAAAACATCCACACATATATAGCACAAAGATAGATAGATAGATTCATAATAAATATTAATACTACAGAAAGAAAAACCAATGATATATCCCTATACCTCAGTAGTAAGTGGACTTCCATTAACCCTTTCACTGCAGCTGGGATGTATATTTCCCAATATACTGGGAAATATACATCCCAGCTGCAGTGAATGAGTTAAAAAACTTCGTGCAATACACAGGTATTGGAAGAACAACAAAATAGATAGAAACTGATAGAACCTTTGAACTTTAAAATCACAAAACCGTTTTGGAAAATATTTCAAAAAATCTTCTTATGTTACAACAAAGGACTGTGGTGTTAAATGATTGCATTTAATCTATCATTCTTAGAAAATATTTGGTTTATGTATCATAGTTGTAACAAAATCTATAAATTATATCACTTCAAGAGCTTTTAATGTAACCAAATGACCCGTTTAAAACATTTGCTGAGGCATAATAAATTAAAGATAAAATGAAAATTAAACATTCAAGAGGTTCCAATACAGTCCATAACTAAAAGTTGATTGTGACCCACTGGTGGTACACATGGCAGCAAACATGTTAACTATGTATTAACATAAAAATCTCAAGATTATGTTGAGCAATTTTTTCATGCATTTTGTCAAAAGGAAGGTGAATAATAACCCAAACAGTTTGCAGTTCAAGTGGACTGGAGAATTTTTGTTCTAAAAAAGTGGAAACTGTGCAAGTGTTGATATTTCTATCAACTTAATATTTGAGTTCAGGTGTCAGAATAATAGAAATTGACTGTATTGAGGAACATAATGATTGCAGTGAAATGTTGGATACCATTGCTCTAACAGTGTTTAAGGACAGTATTCTGTGTCATATTGGTGATTATTTGGTAAGAAAATTAAGTTGATTTTCTTGATCACATTGTAGGCAGGGATAGAACATCTGAAATATTGTAGTGATTAAATATTAGTCCCATCACAAAACCAAACAGGAAGACTTAGCTTTCTAGGTATCATGCCATATTATTTACAGTTTTTGCCCAGTTTTTTTTTTCAAAATAGCCACACTACTGTTTGCATTGAAAGGCAGATGTGTACAGAAATGTGAGGAAGCATTCTTGTTCCTAAAGTATGCTTTGGTAAAAACTTGGTGTTGACTTATCCTTACTGAGACTGTACATTCATCATGAATACTCATGCCAGTGATAGTGGAATTGGAGCAGTTGTGTTGCAGATATGTAATGGCATGAAATTGTGAAACCACATATATATGCCATACATTAACTGCTTTTAAATGCCAAAAATATATGATCATGAAGAAACTGGCTTCAATTATAGTATTTGTCTTTCATTATGTCCACTTCTGGTATGGTAGAAAAATTGACTTCTCAAGTGGTCCATGTTATCATTAAAATGGGTGAAAAATCTAAAAAGTATGATTGTACACTAGGTAACAATGCTGCAAGAGTGTAAATTTTTATACAACATTATCTGAATCAGAAGCATCCAATTTCTCACAGTTGAATGTTTAAAGTCTGAACTCTGTACAGCAGTGAAAGCCACTGCAACAATAGTGAAGAGCTTTATGAAGAATATCTGAAGAACATAAACATAGCAGGGTTGCTCTTTGCTATGGTGAAACCCAAGTGTCACAAACAGGCAAGTTTGGTATTAAGGTCAGTTATGAAAGCAGGATAGTGTTCTATACCATCATAATGAATCACTGAAGAGTAGTAACCATCTTATGATGCAACTAGTGGTCTCTTATACGGTAGATACTTCAGAGGTTTAGCATAATGCAAGGACAGGATGGTACAAAAGAGCATTATGCACCCTCCCAAATATGCAAAAGCATCTTTTTTCTGGTTTGAATTCACATAAAGATGTTCAGAGATAGTGTAGACACTGTATCATGTGCAGTGTCCCAAGGATTCTACTTGACAGAAACTTGATCTGACTGGTTTTATATCCAAAACAAAAATAATAAGTATCATTATAAGCTTTGTTGACATTGCATACTCTTAGTTATATGAGTATATCAAACCAGCTACGTTAATTATTGGGTTAATGTGTAGAATCTATCAATTACTTCACAAAGAGGGCAGAAACTCATCTTTTTGATTGATACTTTAGAATATTCCTTCACTGATGTGTTGACTGAATAATGGATAACATGATTCAGTGCACCTGAAGAGGTCCACACAGACTGAAGACCCAGTTCTAACAGCCAGTTGCTTTTAGAGGTTTGTTAATAGGAGTAGAGAAAAGACATATTTCACTATATTATCTTCAGTTCACTAGTTTAACTGAACAGGTAATACAGATTATCAAGCTGATGAATTTGGACAGATCAGTTTTCTATCAAAACTGTGTAGTTAAGTTTTGTAGCATAAATGCATTGTTTTATCTTCAAGAACAAACACGTGATTCGATGTTAGGGCACAAATGTGTATCTAAAACTTCCAGCACAAGTCTTCTATCAAGTTTGTGTAGTTTTAGTCTTAAAGCAAAAACATACACCTAGTACATCTGTGTAGTTCTATTTTCTAGCAAAACTGTGGGATTCAAACTGCCAGCAACTAGTACACTTCATCTAACACAACTGTGAAATTCTAGGTTCTCATACAACTATACTGTTTAGTCTTCAAGCAAACATATACAGTTCTGTCTTTTAGCACAAGTGAGTAGTTTCCTTTCTAACCACAACTGTGTTGTTCTATCATCC